TTTAGTGACTCCTGTTTTCCATCAAGTCTTTCAAAGATGGCAATTTGTGAGCATTGAATAGCTCACAGTGCACCAGAAAAAAAATATAAATCATTTGTTTGGCTTCACACAGGGTCTATGAACTTGGGTTCATAGAATCACGGAGTTTCCCAGGTTGGAAGGGACCTTTCAGGTCATCGAATCCAACCATCAACCTGACACTGACAAAACCCATCACTAAACCATATCTCTAAGCACTATGTCTACCTGGTTTTAAATACCTCCAGGGATGGTGACTCCACCACTCTTCTGGGCAGCCCGTTCCAATGCTTAATAACCCTTTCAGTGTAAAAAATTTTCAGTTTCCTTACACACTGCAGCTTCTCTCCCATAACCTCCATGGCTATGCAGCATCTTTCCTGGGATATCCTACAGAGATCTTAGGATAATCTACAGAGTTTTGAGGTAGAAATAGGGCAGGGTGATCTATGGATTGACTGCAAGACTATTTCATTTAGGGTACCAAGATGCTAAGTTAACAGAATCTGTTGCTTAAGTCATCTTGTAGTACCATCATTTCTATTGGTTTTGGGATTTTTAACTATGGAAGGTTCCTGTTTGGATACACAAGTTTCCCACAGGACTGGGCAGATACAACCCAGTGACTGAAACGGAGGGACTGAGATAAAAAATACTGAATCCAAATCCAAGCAGACACGTAGACATCCCACATGCTGAGATTACAGCTTGTGTGCTCACCTGCAGTGTTCTCCACCAACACCAGGGCTGAACTGGGGGAACAAAGGACTCCTTGCTTCCAGACATGATGGCCTGGGACAAAAGAGAGACAACGAAGGAGTTCTGTGAGTTGCTAGCACACATTTTCCTGTGAATAATGGATTTCAGTCTCTCTACTGTCATTCACTCAATCACGGTAAATCTGCATTGAGCTGAATTTCTCTGTGTATCAGACTAGTCAATAACAAAAATGACCCTCCTGTGCTTTTCCTCCTTTAAGTGTTAGCTTAAAAACAGGTACGGCAGATAACAGCTGTATCCTATTTTCTGGAATTGTTACTTCTTCCTTTGGCATAAGTTTATTACATAAACATACGGAAAAATCTGCACTGGGACATTCCAGTTAAGCACATGGGACAATATCTACGGCACAGTCCCTACCAATGGCTCTAGAAAAGTTTGAGGGGATAAGAATAAATCTCTGAGGGGCTGCTCCTGCCAGAGATTTAATTCTGTATCTCCAGGAAACGCTAAGCATAGGCATCCCTCACTCCTACAGAGTCACTAGTAGCGGAATTAACATCCCATACAACAATCACCAAGTGAGTTATCAAGCAGAGAGGTCTTGTGCTGTGATTCCTGCCACCTACCCTCTCACCTGTGACATCCACTGCAATTGTAAAATCAGTAGCCATCTAGATTTAGAGAAATAAATGTTCCTGGCGGTATAAATTCCCCATCTTTTCCCATGCACACACCTGTCTGTCAGCCTGGGTATCTAAACTACATCACCTCAATCTTCTTGTAACTATCCTATGTAAAACGTCCTTATTTATAGCTGGATGCACACAAAAGCCTAGCCCTTATAACCAGTTTAGAATCAAGGCTCCCAAAAGAATAATAAAGTTTGTTGTCTCCCACTAATGCCTGCTGGAATTAGCCTGGCCTAGGGGCTACTTCCAGCAGTCAGGTTTAGCCTGGCCAGAAGGAGAAGCTGGGGTTAGAAGCAGAGATACAACCGTGATGAGATTTAATTTTTAGAGAACTACCAGTAGGATGAAAATGCTTTTTTTTTTTTTTTTTTTAAACTGTCATGAGATTTAATTTTTAGAGAACTGCCAGTAGGATGAAAATGCCTTGTTTTTTTTTTTTTTTTTTTTAAACTCATTTGACAAAAGGATTGCACAGAAATGAAATCTGAAACAGTCTTGATGAAAGCAGTGCGCCCCGTTGGTAAGTCATTTAATAATTAACTCGACAAAGCTCTTGACAGTTCACAGCAGGAAAGAATTCTGATTCAAAAAGGGTGGAGAGAACAATCTGACAGATCTGCATTTCAACATCTGTATGACATTTCATGGAGTAAATCTTTATTGTTCCCTGCCACCTAATGGTGTACGTGAAAAATTACAAATCGGTAAGACAATTCTCCAGTTACGCTATTTCTAGTAGACTTTGATATATTTATTTAAAGAAGGATCAAGATTATGGATAAAAATGTGAGTTACTATTACTGGCTTTCAATGAGAACCAGGCTGCATAATTTAGTCTTAATTCTAGGTGTTAGTGAAGCTGTATTTCTACATTAAATACCTGTGCTGCCTATGGGGGGCTCTGAAAACCAACCTGCTACAAGAGATTCTGTTCACCTAAATTAGACAGAATTTTGCCATATACCCACTTGTAACAATTCTTTACATAAAAATCAGAAAAAATCCATGTACAGCATGGCCACAATCTAGTTGTTTTTTTTTTGAACGAGGCACAAAAGTGTTGAACCAATCTTAGATTTCTCCAGAGCCATGTGAATTGCAGGAGTGTTAAACGTTCCTGCTTTGAGCGGTAACCAACAGAATTTGCAGTTTCTCTGTGGCGAGGAAAATCTTCAGTCAGAAGAGCAGATAGAAAAATGCAAAGGGATAGGGCGAAGGGAAAAAGAAATGATAATAAATACCACAACAAGCTCCTGTATTTAAAGATATCTGCAGGTGGGTGACTGCATTGGTGTGGACGTCAGTGCCACCCCGACTGCAGCATTAAAGGCTGAATATGATCCAATGCCCGAAGCCTTTACAAATTAGCTTAGAAAAAAAATACCTAGAACATCCTCTAACTGCAACTAAAAGGGAGAGGTATACAGAAGGAAAAAAATACGCCATTTGGATTAAATTTAGGAGAACTGGCAGCAGAGTATGGGGTTTTGCTTTTATAAAATTAGCAGCGTGTGTCCCTAGAGTATGATCTATTTTTGCGTAGCTTTAATTATTCACACCCTTAATGCAGTTCTTTGCAATCTTCTCATGTTTGAGAGCAATGAAATGTGGGCCTGGATAGTGCACTGACTCGTGCAATATTGTCTCTCTGGCTATATTCTACATACACTAGTTCAACGAATGGACAACTGATGGATAGAAATTGATGTCTCCATATTTAAAGGTCTAAATTTTACACCTGTTTGGCAGCAGTATGGCTTCAGACTTAACTATCGAGCAGAAAATGCTTCATTTAAACAGTCACGGGAACTGCACGGTGTTCTAGGGAAATTAGTTTGTTTCTGAATCTAATTGATTGAGCTTTTTTTGGCCTACATTCCTGATCTGTCAAATAACTATTCTCGCTTATTAGTGAACAACAACAGATATTTTAGAACTGGAAGATATTAATATGATTATTTCAGAATGACACAAGTGTGTAGTTTTGGTATCAAGATCGTAACTTTTGTTTGAGCTCTAGTACATCTTCTACAAAGAAATCTAGTTATTACTTGAAAAATGGAAGTGATGAGAATCCAGCATGTTCTCAGGTAAATGGTTCCTACATTTAATTATCCTCAAGATAAAAATGTGCTCCTTATTCCTTGTACAAATTGGATTTCATTATGACTTTTTTTTTGCATTACAATTATGAGCTGTCAACTATTAGAAATCATTTCCCTGTACAGGTACTTCTAGATTGAGTCACAGTAGAAAATAGAGTTAAATATGCTCTGTGGTTTCAAAGCAATTAAAACTGATTGAATTAAAGAGAGGAAAGTGGGATTCTCTTCCTGCAATTACGAAACACCAAAATGTCTTATAAAAAAAAAGCTGAATAATGTCTCTGTAGACAGACACCGCTGTTTCTAGCATTGATTCACTTACTGTTAGGAATTATTCATATCATTTAAAAATAGGATTGTCTTTAACTCGAGTGCAATCATTCTGCTGAAGTGTTTAAAGATCTAAAATGTGGATGAAAGCCACAGTTACTATTTTAGACTGAGAGAGAAGCACTGCCTTAACACAGAGGTGGGTACTATGGCAGAAGTGAATGGATGATTTCTGACCCTACATGTAAATGAGTACAAAACGATTCCATTAAAGCTTCTTTTGCCTTTTTTTTTTTTTTTTTCCTGTTCTGTGCCAGATTATAGACGCAGTGCCTCTGGTCTACTTTTTAACAAAGTCTGAAATAATAATTTCCCTGCTAAACTGCAAAATGGTCCCTGGCATGTATGCTGCCTAAGATGAAATCTTTCACTTCTAAGACCCTTTGCTCAAAACCATTGCTGCCCTGCTCTTGTTTAGTTTGTCTTACTTGTTCCTAGGGGTAAGACTACCTTTTCTCCTTGCATGTCTAATCTGTACAGGACTGATAATAAAAACATCCAGGCCAAAAGCTACATCTTCTCCTCTCTATAGTAATTTGGAAAACAGATCCTCAGTTATATATACCCAAGAATCATAGAATTGCCCAGGTTGGAAGGGACCTTTCAGATCATTGAGTCCAACCATCAACCTGACACTCACAAAAACCATCACTAAACCACGTCTCTAAACACTATGTCAACCTGTCTTTTAAATACCTCCAGGGATGGTGCCTCAACTACTTCCCTGGGCAGCTCATTCCAAGGCTTAAGAACCCTTTCAGTGTAAAAAAATGTCCTAATATCCAATCAACCTCCCCCAGCACAATTTGAGGCGATTTCCTCTTGTCCCATCGCCTGTTCCTTAGAAGAGACCGACCCCCCCTAGCTATACCCTCCTTTCAGGGAGAGAGTGAGGTCTCCCCTCAGCCTCCTTTTCTCCAGGCTGAACAACCCTCCAACAATCTCAATTTCTGAAAAAAAATGTAATGGAGGTATGAGCAAGAGTGTTTGGAAAAAAGACCTTGGACAAGAAAAACGATTAAAAAGAAGTCAGGATTAAAGATATGAGGTTGGATGTGCAGTTGAGAGGGGGTTCGAGAGACAGAAGGCACAGGCAATGCCTGCAGGCCTCTCTATTTTCATTTTCTCCTTCTAGGTCACCCACTGGGATAGAATTTGCAGATTTCAGGCATTTGTTCAGTATTTCTCAACGGCAATACGAAACTCCCCGTGGAGGGGAAGAACAACGTTTAAGGGGAGAAGGTGAAGCCTTTAGTTTGCACCACGGCCGTGAGGGAGCTGAGGGAGAGGCGAGGCCTAGCCAGGCCCTCCCTCACACATTCAGTCCCCGGCGCACCGTTACCAGCAGCACCGACGAGAAAGGGGGGAAAACAGGCACTAACCCGGCCTGGGCAAACGCCCGCAGGGCCACCATGAGCCCTGAAGCGGCCTCCCTGAGGGAACCACCACCTCTCACGGCCGGGCCCAGGGTGAGGGACGGGAGGGGACCCAGGGTTCCCCTCAGGGCTACCGCGCACGCGCCGTAACCCCTCCCCGCGCCCCTCCCACCCC